TCAGAAATGACTGACAATTCTTGCCAGAAAAAACAGTGTGATTGTAGCCTCCACATTCATTGCTGTATTACCCTGCTGGTCTTGAGCTTTGCAGCCTTCTCCTGCATATCCTGAGTCAAATGGTTTCATAGGGGAATGAATTATTTGGAGAGGTTTCCCATTGTCTAGTTACACAGGTTCTGCAGTAATAACACATCCCAAATGATGGATGGTGATTTGCTCCCTGAACATCTGAGTCCTGCTTCTGGAGATCAGCATCAGAATTTGAATCCAGGACTTCCATCCCCTGCTTCTAAAATCATTCTGGGTTTGAACCCATGACCATCAGCAGCAACCACTACAGTTTAAAACGATAAAAACAACTCTATCACTTAGCAGCAGTAGTAAGCTATTATCTTTTAGTTGATCCACCACTGGAGGGATATGGAGAGGGATGTCGTACATACTTTGGCAGCATGTTAGACATGTATGCATCACAGATGGAAATGTTATGTATAAGATTATCTTGTATTTATATATTTAGAAGATAAATATAACGTAGATAAGATAAATATATATTTATCCTGAACTGTAACAAAAAGAATTCAAGAAACAAGAGGGAGAGGGAGTGATGGAAATGCAGGGCCACTTAGTAGGGGGCACACAGCCCATTTTGGTGAATTCTTGAGGCCATGCTTTATAGTAACAGTTTAAAAAAAATTAAATCCCGCCTGTGGTTAACAGCTCGCTAATTGCATGCGACTGTTTCTTGAGTTCCTGATCCCTGTCTGGTGGTTAAGGAGGGAAAAGCCTCCATAAATCAATGGGAACAGCTGCCTCCTTAGAGCCAGGCATGGTGTATGTCACAAACTGTAGAAAGGAATGGAGATATAGGGAGAAGTGTAGATGATTAATGGAGCAGACGTGGAGGCTCAGAGTGTGGTTGCACTACTGTGAACAGCCATACATACTTTGGTCATTTATCTTCTCCACTCCCACACCCCCTGTCTTTCTGAAGCGATGGGGCAGTCATGTTAAGTGTAGTGGTCATTAAAAATATAATAATTTACAACGTGCTTAAGGAGATGGGGTTGTGTTTCCAGTGATGGCTCTTAAATGTGGCCCTTCCTCTTATTCTTTGGAGAAGCATGGAAAAAGATTATGAAACCTGGTGCTTGATTTAAAATTAGCAAAGCCTTGCCTGCTGAAAAGGGAAGAAAAGCTGACTCCTTTTTTCCACATGCTGCTTGGTCCACTGCTGTTAAACCCAACAAGCCTCATGGGTAAGAAAATCTGGAGTCAATAAATAAAACAATAAACAAGCAAAAGTGCCTCTGGAGTCTCCAGGAAGGATCATGACTGGTCTTAGAATCATTGAATCATAGAAAATCAGGGCTGGAAGGGACCTCAGGGGGTCACATCTAGTCCAACCTTCTGCTCAAAGCAGAACCATCCCCAGCTAGATCATCCAAGGCAAAGTTTTGTCTAGCCAGGTCTAACCTCTAAGGATGGAGCCTGCACCACCTCTCTGGGTAACCTGCTCCAGTTTTTTACTACCCTCCTAGTGAGAAAATTTTCTAATATTTAACCTAAACTTCCCTTGCTGCACCTTGAACCCATTGCTCCTTGTTATGTCACATGCCCCTCCTGAGAACAGTTCAGCTCCATCCTCTTTGCAACCCCCTGCAGGGAGTTGAAGGCTGCTACCAAATCCTGCCTTGGTCTTCTCTTCTTTAGACTAAATAAGCCCAGTTCCCTCAGTCTTTCCTCAGAAGTCATGTCCCCCAGCCCCAAAAGCATTTTTGTTGCCCTCCCCTGGACACTCTCCAATTTGTCCACATCCTTTCTGTGCCATGTCTTGTCTTGTGCCCGTGGAGGGAGGAAGACAGCATGTAGAAGCTTCCTTCCTCATGGGCTGATTCGGGGGTTGAGTGGGGGAACATATCGCTGACTTCAGTGCCACACTTGCTTCAAAGAGACTATCCAGACTCCACTGAGTCCATAGGTGCCAGTGCAGGCAACACTAGAAGGCTGTATAGCTCCTGCTTCAGATAATTCAAAATCTGGGCATCAAGCCTAAAATTCAGCCTTTTCCTAGCAGAGGAGAGATTTCCCATCTGTAGGTTCTTTGCCTTCAACTAGTTTAGGATGTGCAGACAACTCATTTCAGCTTCCACCTGGACTTGTAAAACCCTCTCACTGTTGGCTCAGCTACATTACCCTGATACCCCATTAAATGTGGAATCTTAGTGTAAAGGCTTATTGATTTATGGCTTTACTTTACAGAAGATATTTCATAGAGCACGAAGTACAGAATGGCCACTGTTTCCATACACTTGATCCATGGGATAGGAATGTCATGATGCCCCGGGACCTGGAGATGCTGGGCTTTTCGTTATTATACCTAGTAGATCAGTAACAGGGGAGCCTGTCCCTTTAAGAGTGAACATTTAGCACTGTTCAAAGAGCCCAGCTACAGGGCAGTTGGAAAATGAGGGAATGTCCCACTGGGATCTTAAAATCCCTGCAGAGAGAGCAGAAAGCTGGCAAGCAGTGAGGGACCCATTTGCAAGCAGGAGGCCAGCTGTGAGCAGAAAAAGCGTCCTTTCAAAAAGGGACCACGCCTCTAGGTCAGGGTGAGAGCCAAAGGGTGCTGGGAACCCATGAACCAGGGGCAGAGCCTCCTGGTACTGGGGACAGGATGGGAGGGTTTGGTTTTGTTGGCTTATTTGTGTATGTGTTTACTGCTCAAAGGCTGTGCAGTATTGGGAGGACTGGCTGAAGACACCCCTGGGAGCAAAACCCACCTCGGGAAACCTTCAGGCTGATTGTGAAGATGAAAGTCAAAGTACATTGTGCTTGTGTTATCAACACCCTTCTGTATGGCAGCAAATCCTGGGCCTTATACTCCACTCAAAAAAAGCACCTCGACAGACAATCTTCCAAGCATCTGTTCTCTTCTCAGCCAGTGCCAACTTCAATGGCTTGGTCCTGTGCAGAGAACGGACGTTGGACATAAACCCAAGGGTCTCTTGTATGGAGAACTCTTTACAGGAAGAAGACCAGGTGGGCATCCTTACCTCAGGTTCAAAGAGGCTTGCAAGAGAAAAATGGAGACAGTGAACATTGAACCAAATGACTGGGGGAAGATTGATGAGGATCAAAGTACTTGGAAATCATCTATTAAGCATGGGATGAAGGGGACTGAGGAAAGAAAATCCCAACAGGCAGAGGAAAGAAGAAACCTCAGGAAGAACCCCACACAATATTCAGGAGTGTTTGATATGAACTTCAGATGTGATAAGTGTGGAAGGGACTCAAGAATTGGGCTCTACAGCCACACTCGCAGAAGTTCAGTGAGCTGATGCCTCACTCTGTTCAATTGTATTGCCTTGCAAGATAGATGCCTACTAGGCATCTTTATAATGCCTCACCACCACCACCAGACAGTTCCTGTATCTTCTTGAGATGAATGTGCACGTCCACTGGAGACAACATAGCAACTTCTTTCTGTAGTAACAGAAGCCACATTTCTTCCACCTGGCCTGCTTCAGTGGGTCCTCCTCATCATCACGAAAGTATAAGAGCATAGGGCTAGACTCAACTGCTAAGTCCAGTTACAGGCTGAATGATTTCTCCAAAAAGGCGCACAAAAACATCCATCTCCTGGCATGCCGCAGTCCCCAATAGGAGAAAAAAATCTACATTATGCCACAGTAAGAAGGTCAGAGACACAAGGGCAGCCCCAATCATCATTATTACTAGGTGCTGCCAATGCACTGAATGCAGTATAAGGTACACCATGGAGAGGGGCTTTCTTCTGAAGACTCAGTGAAGAAGTCGATCCATGCTAGGCAACCCAGACAAGGGAATCAGTCAGAAAAATACCAGTTTTGTCCCTAAGGAGGGATGTCAGTGTAGGCAGCAGGGTGGTTCAGTAAATCAAGATGGGAAGACAGTCATTCTTTTCATCATTACCTTTGTTTTTGCATTGTCCCAGTGAGACAATGTCGGTCATGCCTACGTTACCTCAACTATGTCTATATTGCAATATACTGATGTTTCCAGGGACCTAGAATCCTATGTTCATGAGATGTGGAATAACAAACACTGGAGCAATCGATTAAAATAATCTCAAACATATCCCTGTTTATTTGGTTCATTTGATATCTGAAAAAACTGGCTAAATTTCCAGCGCGATCTGGATTAATTGTGAGATTCTTGGTGATTCCAGCGTCGGGCTTGGCCAGAAATACTGAGCGAAAGGTGTTCCTTTCTAGTAATTTTCTCTTTTTTGTTTGTTTGTTTATGGTCCTAGTCAGAAGTTTTCTTTTAATTAGGTCTTTGAGTATCCAGACCATTTCTAGTGTTCAAACACTCCTCTGTTCAAGGTTATCTAGATTTATCAAACACCAGCCATAGTACAATGGACAAACCTTTTGGCTTTTACTTATGTCAGAAGTGATTTAGACTGAGAATGGATTGTAGGAGTTACTCTGTTATAAATTAGCCAATAAACTGTATTTAACAAATATATAGTTTAATGAGAATAAGATTTTCAGAAACTGACCTAAAAGTGATACATAAAATCAATCTTATGTAGGAATAAAGTAAAGGTTGACTTGATCTTTCAGCCAAAATGCTAAGCAAACTTGGAACAAGTCCAAGTCACTAAATTTCTATTGGTTTCCTGGCCTCCTCTTTACTTTTCGATTTCACATTCTTCTCTCTACCTCCCCCTTCAGTTCCAGACCAATAAAAGTGCCAGAATCACAAGAAAAATGAGTTCTTGCAGAATTTACTACAATCTGCCAAGATTTGTACCTTGTTGTCTACAGAGCCATGAAGGTTGGGTAGGTTAGGTAATCTTCAGTTACGCTTATAATATTTTGGGTGCTGGGCTAAACCCAATGGAACAAAACCAAAACTTTTAAGGTTCTTCTACAGACGAATTGTTTTAATGAAGGCTTTTCATTAACGCACATTTTGGCACTGACTGTCATTACTGCTTTCTGTTGCAGCTCCCTAATTTCATCAACACAACCCTCCCACCCCACGAACAGGTGACAGCCCAGGAGATAGACAGCTACTTCAGACAGGAGCTCATCTACAAGAGAAATGAGAGGATGGGGAAAAGAGTGATGGCCCTTTTAAAGGAGAACATGGACAAGAGCTTCTTCTTTGCTTTTGGAGCAGGTATGGACTACAATACCCGTTGTTGTTAACTTATTCAGGCACAGAAATTGAAATGAATGGAGTTCAAAAGAGGGCAGAATTTGGCCTTCAGTTTGGAAAATGCCCTTGTGGAATAGGCAGACTTTACTTGCTCTCTTAACTCTTTCTGGACCTGGCTATGAGGTTCCTCCTCTGAAGTAGGGTTAATTGATTTTGATGAAAACATCAAGCTATTTGCACGTACACCATTTATTTTAACACCCAGCATACCCTCATTTTATTTTCCTCTTGTAAAGCGATTGGTGTCTAACACGCCTACGATGCAGTCAGAGGTGTGAGTGCAGCTAGTGGAGATAGAGCGTGCCAGCTTTGAACAAGCTAACTTGCTGAAGTTATTTCTTAAGATTGCTGCAGTATATGCCACTAACACTTTGTTCTTATAACATGCTGGAAATAAAGTAGAAAAAAGGTAAGTAACATTTTTTATAGCCTGATTCAGCAAAGTTGTTATTCCTAGGCCTAACTTTTAGTAAGTGCTCTTGTCTAATGGATTTCAAGGCAGCTATCATTGCTGTGTTGAGGAATGATACTTTACTCATACTCTTTGCTTTCTTTCTTTTAACTCCATGGAAGACTTTTTCTTTTAATCCCATGATTAATTTTGGGAATATTGATTTTTTGTTGTTGTTTTGTTTTTTATAAACAAAACCTTTTTTAAATATTCAACTTGTACATGTTGGACTGTTTTGTTTTAGTATGCAGCACTAAATAGAGCGTACCATTTTAAGTCATTTCACCACTCAACTTCACCTGCCCAAGGTGCTGAGGATCCTCATGGGAGTTACCAAACAGTATCTTTCATCCACAATCTTTTATCCTGAGCTTTATGGCTGCACCATGTCACTTGATCAAAGGAGGGAATGTAATTCATTGTGGGAGATGCAGTTTAGCCAACCACTCGAAACAAACAACTATCCAGTACGTACTGCACAAGAGATGAGCCAGTGTGATGTCAGACTAGATGGCTTTCAAAGGTTATATAGTGAAATCTGTCTTTTTACATGGTTTACCGAAGGTGTGATGGAAAGCTGAAAGGATGATCAGGACAGTCTATCCATTAGAGCAGCAATTGTTTGTACAAGCTATTCTGGTACCTGACCACCTTCAAAGTGCTGCTTACCCTTCAGAAAAATGCCCTGTCAACTCATATTGTGTGATGTGACGGTGGCAGCAGGTAAACGCGTCAGAAATCCCAGTAATCTTAAACTGGGTAAGTAGCAATGATACATCTCATAGCCATTACTGCTCATATGCCATAGATTAATAGAAGTTTTCACGGACCTGTGTTATTCCGTGATTCCTTTAGGTAGATACACTGCAGATCCTTTTTCCTTTGACTTCTTCAGTGACTTCTGAAGTCTACATTTAAATTATTCAAGCAGTGGCACTCCTACCATTTCCCTCAAAAAGACCCTTTTATAGTCCAAGGGGATTTTCTGTTCGTTGTTACTTTTCCTAATAATTGACCTATATGTTTCATTTGCTCAGTTTCACCCCGTTGCTACTAGTATTTTCACTGTTCATCTGCATTTAAAGGTCTCAGTGCTAAACAGTATTCTCATAGATTCATAGGTGTTAGGGGCTGGAAGGGACCTCGCAAGATCATCGGGTCCAGCCCCCCTGCACTTGGGCAGGAAAGACTGCTGGGGTCAGTTGACCTCAGCAAGGTGGGTGTCAAGATACTTTTTGAAGATCATCAGGGTCAAGACACTTTTTGAAGATCGCCAGAGGTGTACCACCTGTTCCAGACCCTCGGCACTCAGCTTGTAAAGATGATTTTCCTTATGTCCCATCTGAAGCGATCTACAATCACTTTGTGCCCATTGCTTCTTGTCTTCCCCTGGGGTGCCTTGGTGAACACATGTTCCCCCAGGCCCTAATGTACGCCTCCAATATACTTATAGGCTGCCATCAAGTCCCCTCTGAGTCTTCTCTTCCCCAGGCTGAACAGTCCCAAGTCTTCTAGCCTCTCCTCATATGACCTGCTCCCTAGGCATCTAATAATGAGCGTGGCCCTCCTTTGGACTCTCTGAAGTTCATGCAGTTCCTATTTTGGATTCAGCCGAGGGCCTCCCACTATCCAGTGTTGTATTTTATTTGGGAGATTATCAATTCTTCCATGAAAGAATGCTGCTGTAGGATTGATGCATCTGAGTTCATGCT